TAAGTTACAATTACGTGTAAAACCTTTTTTTTTTTTTTTTAATATCTTAAATAACCATTATGTTGACAAATTTAACCACGTTAATTTTTACGTACAATATTTCTTATTAAACAAAGTGCAAAATTTGAATTATTCTCTAATTAAAAAAATTAACTCGATCGACTTGGCTTTACTAACTAAGTTTGAGATTATGTATGAATATTTTATTCGTCTTCTTTAATCTTTTCCCTTCATCTTTTTATTCTACTTTGTCTACATATACATATGAAAAAAACATACTGCTGATAGTAGCCCCCAGGGCATAGTCCAGTGGTGCAAAAGGATAGGAGTGAGGTTATCTCACGCCTTACTAGTAGTCGCAGTGTGGGAATTCGATTCCTGAAATATAGAATTGAACTCCTTGTAGGCACAGTGTACATGCAGCTCTTGTTCCCTGTCCTGTTGGGGCACATCCCGTGATTTACCTCCCTCACAAAGTTCTAGGGGGGACGGTGAGGGCCCTCAAGGTTGGGGTTCAACTTTTTTTTTTTTTTTTTTTTTTTTTTTTTTTTTTTTTTATTTTTTTTGGGGGTGTAAAAAAAATTTTAAAAATTATTTTATAAAATTTTTTTTTTTTTTTTTTTTTTTTTTTTTTTTTTTTTTTTTTTTTTTTTTTTTTTTTTTTTTTTTTTTTTTTTTTTTTTTTTTTTTTTTTTTTTTTTTTTTTTTTTTTACATACTGCTGAGAGTGTACACAAATTTAACAAAATTATTTGACATTTTCCACCCTACTTTGATAGTAAAAATTTTTTCCTTTTTCTTTTTGGAAAATATCCTAAAATTGCCAACTTTTCACAAATAACAGCTGCTCGTGTGGTCACTTACTGCGAACGGAAAAAGAGGGATTCCTCTCGAGTGGCAATCCCGTTATTCTCGAGAACTTGAAGGGTAAATATGGTCGGTAATTCCTAGACAATGTGCGTATACATATACGAATATACGTATAGAGAGAGAAAGAGACAGGAGGGGGAATGTGTGTGGTGGGGTCTTTGGGCAGCGCCAAAGGCGCAGGCCAGGCCACCCGAGTATACTCACTTTCTTCTTGCATTCACTGCACATACTGCACCAGTATCTTCACGCCCCTTTCTCTTGCGTGGGTTTCAAATAATCTTTTTCTAGTAATTAATTTGCGTCCGTCAACCGATGTTAATCACTAGTCCTTGTGACAATTGAATGACGTTAATTGGATAGGTCATATGAATGGGAGCTCTGCTTGTTTGGGAAAAATAATGAATTCGTTAAATTATAAGTCAATAGATTTGAGTCATAAATAAGTGGACAGTTTGTTATAAATATGGGTTTGTTTGAATCCCATTTTTTAGGAAAATAGATTTTGTAACAACGATTTTTTTTTGTTTAAATGTGGTTAAAAATAAGAAAAATTTTAATTTTACGTATAAATTTATTTTATTGAGAAAAATGTATGGTTGAAAATAAAATTGAGAAAAAAATAATTATTTAAAGAATAAGATTCAAACTATGGCTACATTGCTTCACTCTGCCACTCTATTGACAGTCTCGTAGAAAACTTGAAAGGTAATACAATTAGCATTTCTTTTAACATTGTGCTTATATACAATAAGTAAAGATATCTAACGCAACTGATGCATAGTATCAATTTACATTGCAATGAAGGTCCAACTTTATTTGTCTAATGAAGTTGGGATATCACCTGACGGTTAATGTTGAATTCAATGTCGTCTAAGAATAACTTGTATTAGATAACATGTGTTAGTTAATATTACTCGTTCTAAAAAATGGAAATGTTGTTATTCATCAATAATGGTGGATATAAATTATAGATTTATGATCACCTGAATTGAGAATCATCATCAATAAAGATGAATGGTATTGCATTTATATATAAAAATAAGTTAGTGTATGATAAATTCTGAAATATTCAAACAAGTTGATTTTGAAATATAGCAGACTTCAAAAGGTGAAAAATAAATAAGCAGCATGGTTTATACTTGTTTGTCATTTTTTTAGTTGAACAATATAAGTACAATTTTATCTTTATCATTTTTATTTTTTTTCGAAATTACTATAGACTCTAACTTTTAATTACAAAAATCACTAAACAACGTAAATGATATTTTTAACAATTCCACACTAATTTTGCTTATAAGTAGATCGCACTTGATATACATATAAGACAACTTAATTAAATTATATTACATATTTCATCTTTTTAAACATGTTACGATTTGGTTTTTACTACAATTTACTTTGGTATCTTAAACATGTCGAATATAACGTAACTAATAAAATTGATATAAATTCTTCAACATTTATTTTCTACAATGCAACGATATTATGTGTAACCAACAATAACTAGCTCTCATAAAAATTTGTTAGCTACTAGTGAGATTTGGTCTCCGAGTAGAAAAAAATAAAAAATTAAAGGCAAGATTTAATACCAAAAGATGTATCCAAATTCAAATTATGCTAGTTGTTTGCTAATTTGGCTTCTAATATACTATTTTAAGTGTAATTATTCTTTACATAATTCCATTTTGCTTAATAAATTTGAATAGACGGTTTCTCAATAGAAATGTGTCATTTTTAACGTCACGTGAACATTTAATGTCTAAATAGACATTTTTCGATTACGTGAAGTTCCAAAGGGCACAAGGATAGTAAACGATTGGAGACTCACACGATATAAAGAAAAGATTCAAGATTTAGGATCTATTTGATAGAGTTTCAACTTTTTGTAGAAGAACTTTATGAGTAAACTACGTTATGCCAATTTCATCTAAAAACTTTTATAATCAAATAAAGTAATCTCAAAAAATTATTTAAATATGTTAAGAATGATTTCTTAATCTCAAAAGTAATTTTTGATTTTTCAAAATCATATTAAGACCCCGTTTGATTATCATTTTTTTCAAAATGCATTTTTTTCTCTTTTCTTTCCAATCATATATTATTCATTAAAATAATATTATAAATAAATTAAAAAATTTTCATCTACATATTTTACATCAATTACTATTCTAAAATTTATTTTTCTTTAAAATTGAGTGTCAAACACTCTCAAAATGAATCCTTAATTATGTTATTTAGCAAACGTCAATAACCATGACCGCAATTTCCGTCTTTACAAAGAAACATTGATATGGCCCCTCGGAGCATAGCCCAGTGATGCAAAGGACATGGGTGAGGTTATTTCACGCCTTGTTGGTAGCTGCAGTGTAGGGGTTCGATTCTTAAAACATATAATTTGACTCCCTGTACGCGCAGTGTACAGGCAGCTCTTGTTCCCTCATTTATTGGGGCACATACCACCCTCACAAAGTTTAAGGGACGGAATGGTGGAACTCCTCAAGATTGGGTTCAACCTTTAAAGAAACATTGATGTGATTACCATACACGCGCGGGACAACGTTTGTAAGAGTTTCATAAGGGACAGAGTGATGAGACTTGAGAGTAATGTATAAAGAGTGGATTGCTGGGTCCGCTCACTCACCGAGTCCTAACTACTAACACGTCCACGATACTTGCTGCCAAACTCAGTGGGCTCCACCTAAATTGACAACTCTCTCTTTCTCTCTCTACATTACATTCACAATGTAGATGTATATATTTTATTTTATTGAATCTCTGTTGCCTGGTATGATTTCTCAGGCAGTGACAAATAAAGATCACGCAAAGACCATAAAGAGAGATAAAATAAATTATTTATAAAAATTTACTTATAAGTATCTTTACTTTACTTAAATAAGGAAACATTGTATAATTTTACTTATAAGTATCTGTACTTAAATAAGTAAAAATTGTATAATTAGTACCCCACAATGAGAATCTTGATCAATTTAAGTTACCTAAGACTCGTGTACTACTTTCTTTGCCTTTAGTACGACATATTATCTGCAACATAACTGTAGGTTAAGGGAATTTGCCATGTGATCCCTAACACACGAGTGTAAAGGCAAATTGGGATTTCAATATTTTTCTTCAGTGTGATGGACTAAAATTTTTGAGTTTGTAGTCTTTCGAAATGCAAATGACAATTTTTATCCATTGAAATAAATAAATGTAAATGCCATTTTCAATCACCATCCACACCCTTTCCTCTAAACCTACTCTAAACAAGAACGGCCCTTCATTTTCTTCGTCAACCGCATGCTCTCTTCTTTTTCTCTCCATCCAAGGAATATAATATTACTATCATATTTTTTACTTTTTGATTTCATTATTCATTTTAACTACATTAAAAGTAAGTTTATGAGCTTAAACATAGTTTAAAGTGGACAAATGGACGAAAATCAGGCTACAACATATTAAAGTTGAGATTGTACAAGTTAAAAGAAAATTGAGGACTTTTGGCAAAGATTTAATAGGTCAAGGACGTCCACTACTATTTTCTTTTATATTAATATATATTAATAATTCTCTCTCCTACAAGGCTAAAATGGTTAATCTGATTGATTCCGAAAAGGAAAGTGCTATCCTCTCAAGTCTCATCTCTTATTATAAATCTTTTAATTAATACTTTTCTATTATTGGTTGAATTGATACAAAACCTAAAAGTGAAAAATTTAAAGGCAGGTGATATGCATCCCTTTTTATTTCTAAAAGTAGTGGCTAGAAAAAATTCTTATTCATATATTAAGCTGAAGATATTTTTTGTGAAAAGTAACTACAAGTCAAAGAAGTATGAAAATTCACTGAAAACCCACACTACCACTGTCTAGGTGGATGAAGACCTTACGTCGACAGAGAATTTATGGGAACTTTTTTTTTTTTTTTTTTTTTTTTTTTTTTTTTTTTTTTTTTTCAAAAAAAAAAAAACAAAAGAAAAAAAAGAAAAAAAAAAAGGGGGGTGGGGAACTCAAACCAATTCTTGGAACTTTTTTTTTTTTTTTTTTTTGGTTAATTTCATTTTTTTCTTCCGAAAATCAAAAAGCCAAGGCAAAGTAAAGGAAGAAAAAGGGTGGTTAGGCTGTGGGTTCTGTACTGTCTTTAACTTGTCCCCTCCACTTAACACAGTTTGTGCTATCTATCTCTCTCACACACACAAATACAACGTGTGTGCAACAGTCTTGAGTCCAAAAGGGACATTAGCACATTGGCCTCTTTTGCCTTTTGTTTCAGTTTTTTCTATGCTATTGTCCGTGTCTGCTCAGAACTGCAAAATGGGGGAAGAATCATATTTTGAATTTCTTGTTATTATTTGATGCTCTCTGTCTTCTTCTTCTCATGGTTTGATACACCACACTTAAAATATGAATTTTCTGTTAATTTTTGTTGAAATCCTTTTAAGGTCTTACGGTTTCTTGAATTAAAGACACAACCTTTACTGATTTCTTGGCCACTATTGGAGTCCTTTTCTTCACTATTCTGAGTTTTTAATGTTTCTTGGTACACAATAATTCTTCCAAAAACCACTTGATTACTTCCAGAACCAACTTAAATGCTTTTTGCCTCTTTCACTGGGTAGTGGGTTGGCTACTTTTTGTTTCTTGTGGTGGTGTAATGCTATATAGTTCTTAGAATAAAAAAACAAGCTCCACCTCTTGGGGGATTAATGGAAATTGATCTGAACCTTGCAGTGGGTGAGGTGGAGAAAAATGCATGTAACAATGGAGGAGAATGTGACAAATTGGGAGGTAGTAGTTGTGTTTATTGCTCTTTGTCTACTTCTACTTCCTCATGCTCTTCAAATGCTGCATCTGCGTCTCCTTCCTCTCCTTGTTCAGTATCAATCTATATGGAGCTGTGGCATGCCTGTGCTGGCCCTCTCACAACCTTGCCCAAGAAAGGGAATTTAGTGGTATATTTCCCTCAAGGCCATTTGGAGCAAGTTGCTTCAAGGGATATGCCCAATTTTGATCTCCCTCCCCAGATCTTTTGTAGGGTTCTTGATGTACAACTACTTGTAAGTACTCGAGATTAAGCAATACTTTTATTGAATGTGTTTTTGCTTTCAAATATTTTCCTTTATGGGTATTGTTTTTTGAATTTTATTCTTGATCGGTGTGTATAATTTCTTTAAACAGGCTAATAGGGAAAATGATGAGGTCTATACTCAGCTGACACTACTCCCTCTACCAGAGGTACGATTTGTGAGTTTGAATGCCTCTGAATCTTAATTATTGAATTTGTTTTTTATTTATGTATGAAGTTTAAAATTTCCTTCTCGATTATTCCAAAAAAAAAAAAAAATTCATCTTGGTGGGCTTCATCTTCATTTTCTTGATTTTCAACTGGCAAAATTTGTCTTTGAGAAGTTTTTCATCAAATAATTTAGCATAGTTATTAGAAGTGAAGTTTCAAGAGATCCTGGTGTTGTGCAGCTAATTGGAGCAAAATTAGATGACAAAGAGATTGAAAGGATAGGGGTCCATGAAGATGGGGAAGGAGTTACGCCTGCAAAATCGACCTCCCACATGTTCTGCAAGACTCTTACTGCTTCTGACACCAGTACGCATGGTGGATTTTCAGTTCCGCGTAGGGCTGCTGAAGATTGTTTCCCACCTCTGGTTTGACATTATTCTGTCCTTTTAGCATCTAATTGTACTTGATAGGTAAATTTTATGTGTAGGGGTGAAGTTTCTTGCTAATTCTGTGCTAAATTTTTCTGTTAGGATTATAAAGAGCAGAGGCCCTCCCAGGAGCTTATCGCTAAAGACCTACATGGCATTGAATGGAAATTCCGTCACATTTACAGAGGTACTAGATTTAATTCCATGATTTTTTAAGATGAAAATTCTCACAGTTTGGTGCTAAACGTGCAGGCCAGCCAAGGCGACATTTGCTTACTACTGGATGGAGTATTTTTGTTAGCCAAAAGAATCTAGTATCGGGGGATGCAGTTCTCTTTCTGAGGTACACATCATGAAAGATATAAGATAGTAGAGCTGTATGTTTAAAGGTTATAGTCCATATGTTAAGGCTCAATTTTTATTTATTTATTTTTTTTTTTTTTCTCTTCTAATCCTGAGTCTCTGACTTATTTGCGAAAAGTTAGATTTGGAAAGGAAAAACTTTGGGGAATATATGTCTAATATTTCTTTTAAGTTAAATGACAAGAACTTATTAATTGGTAATATGGTTGATGTAGGGGAGAAGGTGGAGAGCTAAGGTTGGGAATTAGAAGAGCTGCTCGACCTAGAAATGGGCTACCTGATTCAGTTATTAAAAATCACAGTAGTTATCCCAATGTTCTCTCTTCAGTAGCTAATGCTTTGTCAAGCAAGAGCGCATTCCAGGTGTTCTATAGTCCAAGGTAATGCTGTCTTGCTCTCTTAGTTGGAGGATCCAACTTAGTTTATAAAATCCTTTACTTGCAATGCTACAAATTGTGGTTATGTGATTCATGTTTGTTCTATAAACGTAAATTGATTATTCCAGCTCTCAGATGAGCTTGTCAGTGTCATGCTACTTGGCCATATAATATGACTTCTAACGGAAAGTCTTTGTGACAATAGCGAGTTTATAATGATACTTAAAATAATTCAGCTAATAAATCTACAAGGTTTCAAACTTCACAGCGGTCCTGTTAAGGCCTTTTAACAACGCAAAATAATTTTAATTCTTGGCATTGCATTATCATCAGAAATGATTACCGAAACTCTGATAATTTATTTTCAGTTCAAGACTTCTAATAGCTAATCAGCATAATCTAATTATGGTAGTTTAGAGTAATGTAATTATTTTTTTGGTTGTTTAAACACCTGATAGCATGTTTTTAACTATTTACTTGAACTATAGGATTCCTCGAAGATCAAGTTTGTTATAGGCCAGAACTAAGAAAGATAAAAGGGGTCCTAAAACCACAAAAATGAACTATAATGGTACACGTGGGTCTGTAACTCTTTATATGTGTGTTGTGCATTGTCTCATCAAGTTTTCTGCAATAATATTGTTTCTAGTTATAGCTTTCGTCACCTGCTATCTGTAATTTTGAGTATTCTTTGAGGACTGTGGGTTAGTGCCTAAATTACAAATAGCCACAAACAACTCTTTCCTGTTTAAGTAGTCATAGGAAGGTGGGGAAACTGTTTGCTTTCATTGAGAAATTCTTTACAAAACTGAATTTCTAGAGGTAATGAATCCAGTTTGCCAGATATTTTTACCAGGAACGGATATTTTTTCATAAGAAACATATTTGCTTATTCACAATCAATTTCCTTAGTTTACATTCTTGTTTTTACCGAAGCTCTTTTATTTCCAAAAGGGATGTTTGGGCCATGTGTCCACATCTCATTTATTTTCAGCTAAAATTTCTTGATTCGGTCTTGTTGGCCTTCTCTCCTTTTAAGTATTGGCATTGTTTCCCCTGTACATATTCTTAAATGCGACATTTTATTTTTTGGGACAATGCACAAGTTCCCTGTGTCCTTGGTTTACATGAGATGGATTTCCTGGTTAAATGTGTTGGATGACAGTCTCATGTGACTGAAATATTTCAAAATATTGACAAATTTATAAGTGCAGAAACTAACTATATAGTGAAAACACTTAATTCCTGCTCGGACACATTTATGAACATTAGATTAAAGAGAAGAGTTTCCATGGCTCTGTGTTTATCCTGCATTATGAGGTTTCAGATTCTGCCATTTCATTACCACAAGAAAATTGTAGCCATTTCATGTTGTCTGTGTCATTGAATGGAAGAACATAACAATTATGACTCTCATCTTTTCAATGAATGGATATTCATTGTATAAATTTTATTTACTCAAAGCGAGACTCAGAAGGAAGGTCTCGAAGGACATCATTTCTTAGTTCGCCCATTGCACATATCTGCCTAATTAAACATGCATAAACATCCTTGATGACATATAAGAAAGTTGATAGTGCCAAAATGCTTTTACGGATAATTTTTAAGTGCGCTAAAGTTGCAATCCCTCTTTTGAGAAAATATATTTTGATTTTGTGCTAATAAAATCGTATGACACGATCATATTGGGACCAAAATTTACATTTTGATAGGAGTAAACCTTCAGAGCAAAACTAATAAATTTTTGTTCCTACGGTATTATGCGTGCATATGTCACAGCATGACTTTATAAAAAGTGAGTCCCTTCCCCATAGGGCGTTAAATGGAGCAAGCTCAGCTTGCCTATTTGGATTGCAATATTGACTAGAACATGTGGTGCATATTAATCTTTAAAATATTAAGTTATTAATTTGTCTACTTTATCTTGAATACAGAGCTATGTGTATTTGGTCATCCACAGCCCTTTAAATACAGTAACTACCAATACACGATGAAATGCATGGAATATATTTCCACTAAGCTATATCGGACATTTTAGCTAGATTATTGGATTGAACAACTTAGCTGCATGGATGGCCTACCAGAAAATTCTAAAACCCTCATGCATTATTTCCTTGAGTCCCCTCTTCCAAAATATCTCTTTTAATACAATTTCTTAAAGGACTGGGAAGACTGAATATGTAGAGCTGTGGATCCAAGATAAATATTTAACAGATTGAGATGCATCATGTGGCTTAGGCGATATTGCAATCCGAATAAATGCATGTGTTTGTATACGTTAGTGGCTTTTCAAAAAGATGAAAGTGTCCTTTCTGCATTTTTTTCAATTGCAGATTGTGAATGTAGAATTGTAATTAATAATTTAATTTTTAATAGATAGTTTCAAGCCTGGTTAAAGAAGGGTGCTAATTTATATTTTCAGAAATTCACGTCTTCATTATACCTCTATTAGTAACCGTGCAAAAAGAAAATCTGCAAGCCACCGTCCCCAACTTTCTTCCGGTGAGCTGACTCGAGCTCATCTCGGCCCATTTAACGCCCTTATTCTTATGGAACACTGGCAGAGCGCCCCACTAGTTAAAGTTGAGTATCATCATATTAAGATATATTTAACCACTGTAACTATAAGTTTTCACAAAACTTTATTTTCATGACATGTGAATTTAATACGAGAATATGAAAAACTGATGACTATCGTATTGGTTCTAGTATAGAGTTGTTTCATACCATATGGTGGGTGTGGGGCTGTAATACAGGCTGTTCAAACTTGGTATGTGGTGATGCTTTTCTTTGTACGTTGTTATTATATAACGAGTTTCGTTTCCTCTGTTTATGTGGAGTACATTCTGGGAAATTAATTTTGGTTTCATACATAAATTTAGGGTCCTTCTGGCAGATAAATGGCTATTATAATGTTATTTTTTATGTTATGAAGTCATAATCACTCCTTTCGCATCAAATAAGTTAGCGTCTCCTATGCTTGTTAGATTTTAATGGTTAAGAACATTTTTGCTGCAGGGCAAGTCATGCTGATTTTATAGTCCCATATCAAAAGTACGTGAAGAGCACTGCCAGTCATTTACCTATCGGGACAAGATTCAAAATGAAATTTGATTTAGATGATTCTTCGGAGAGAAGGTTTTATGAAATTCAATCGAGCATCCCAGTGTGTTTTTCCTCTTTCATGCATTTTATTGATATCAAATGTCTTGTGCCTTCTCAGATTCTGTGGAGTGGTGACTGGAGTTGGTGATGTGGACTCCTATAGATGGCCAAACTCGAAATGGAGATGCTTGATGGTACATTCCAACTCTTCTTCTGGAGCTTTATGTATAAAGTGGATTTTAATTTATCAAATGCTGCCATGAGGAAGTCCTCTAAGGCGGGTAGTTTGCACTTGAAGTTTGGTGCTCATCTTTTCTGTTGGTTCCTGCTTTCTTTTTGTAGATTTATCTAGTCCTAGTTTTAGGTTAATTGTCGGTAGGCTAAGGAGCTGAAACATTTGGCTGTCTCCAAGACGTAAATCCACACAGCTGGGGAATTTGTTGAGTAGTTAATAGCAAACATTTGGAGTCTATGTCATAATGGTCTCCTGGAATGTCTAATATGATCGCCAATGCCACACTTTTAATAGGTTCAATGGGACGAGGATATCATGAGTAATCATCAGGATCGAGTTTCTCCATGGGACATTGATTTCTCAGTTCCTTTCCCACCCCTGAGCATTCATTCATCTCCAAGAATGAAGAAAATGCGATCAAGTCTGCCAGTGACCCCACATGACAGCCGAATCACAGGTCCATATTTTTTCCTGTTGATAATAATTATTTTTATTAAATTTTTTTTTCTCGTGGTAGTTCAGCTCAGGGACTGACGCTTCACTTTTATTATCGTTATTTATTTTAAGCAGGAGGGAATTCCCTTTTGGACTTTGAGGAGTCTGTTAGATCCTCTAAGGTCTTGCAAGGTCAAGAAAATGTAGGTTTTGTATCACCTCTCTTTGGACGTGATAGGATAAACCGCCAGCTGGATTTTGAGATGCAACCTGCAGTACGTCAAAATCCTGTATCAAATGTCACAGAAAAGCCTAATTATAGTGAGTTTGTGAAGAATCATGCTCCTGCAACCTATACTGGCTCTACGGAAACGAATTGGTTTCCAAAGGTCTTGCAAGGTCAAGAAATTTGCTCATTGAGATCCCTAGCTGGGAAAAATGATTTTAGCGTTGGTGCGTGGCCAAAACCTGATTTTGGTCGTAATGCTTACAACGCGTATCAAACGCCCAGACCCAATTTATATCCTCTAGCTTCTGAAGGTGCTAGAAACATATTTTTTCCTTGCAATGGGATCTACAGAGCTGACCCAGATCCTCTAATGCTATCCTATGTGTCAGACGTTCAAAGAGAAAGCCGTGTGTTAAATTCCACTTCCATCGGAAATGCTGCTACAGTTGATATGGGTAAGGTGCCAAGTCTCGCAAACCAGCCGAGGCCACTGGAGAAGTCATCCACATCTACCACTGCGCAGGAACATTTCATTAATACTAGTGAGGCCGTCTTGAAGGGAAAAGCGCCCGCCTTTAAACTATTTGGGTCTTCTTTGACCGAGGATATTTCTTCGCTTAATTCACTGGGTTCAAATAAGAGGAGCTGCACAAAAGTAAGCTTCGATATGGATGTGTAGAATTTGTTATGTTTTTCTCAGTTCGTTAATGCTAATGTGTTGGGAATCCTAGTAGAGATGTTATTTTCTACTATTTTATTAGTTTCCTGCTTAAATTAGATTAGTTTAAACTGTATATTAAAAGGATCTTTTTATTGTAATACTTAGACTTGATTATTGAATAAACTCATACTTCCTCCTCCTGTCATAAATGAAGGTTCACAAGCAAGGCAACTTGGTGGGGAGAGCCATTGATCTCTCGAGACTACATGGCTATGATGACCTGCTGACTGAACTGGAGAGGCTATTTAGCATGGAAGGCCTCTTGCAGGATCCTGAAAAAGGATGGCGTATATTGTACACTGACAGTGAGAATGACATGATGGTTGTTGGTGATGATCCATGGCGGTAAGTCCCTCACATGGCGAACCTCTTATCTTTTTGCTTCTCGTCTCTCCATAGTTTAGAAATTGTGAAAGCCAAAGCTATTACTTATCATGGTTGATTTTCAACTTCTGAACAACAGCATTTCTTCCTTAAGGAATTATTAATTTCCTCTTTCTCATAAGAAACGAGAATTTTGTGGACGTTTTTGTCTCTAAAGGCACTTAACGTGGCCTCATCACTTGTCATGATTCAAAAAGACAATTTCATCCTAAGATTTTCGTTTCGCAATATTAGGACATTATGTGGAATTGAATTGTAAATTCGTTACCTATTACAACTTGAATCGCAGTGACTTTGTTGAAGTGGTGTCTAAGATCCATATATATACACAAGAGGAAGTGGAGAAAATGACCATTGGAATGATCAGTGATGACACTCAAAGCTGTTTGGAAGAAATGCCCCCAGTAACAGACGTGTCAAAGTCATCTTCCGTTGGCTAGCCTGATTCCTCATCGACTGTGATCATGATGTAAATCTCAGGTTGTTTGACTATCATCCTAGCAGTACTGTTATCTACTACTTGACAAACTTGGTTGTGTTTCTTAAGTGTTTGGGATTGTAAGCTTAACTATCTTTCGCCCTGCTGGACATGATACTATGATGTTGGAAAACGACATGAATATTATATAATAAAGGTCCAATGTCTATGCACTTAACGCCTTCTTTTACAACTTTTAAGACTTGGGCCACTCTTGTTTTCTGTGTCAATCTTCATGTATTTTGGGTATAACCTCTTATATAAATGCTATTCGCATTGTTAGTATTGGATAGCATAGGCACAGTATTATTTGATCCATAATACCTCCTGTCCCCAAGCTACTATCTATCTGCATTTTATTTTTGGGTTTCATGCATTATTTATTTACTGTCTGAAATTCCCCCCTCTTAGGTAATTTTTCTCCTCTGATCGAGTCATCCACCTTATAGCATTGGAAAAGAAGTCGAGTTAAGGGTTATCTTTTAGGTCGTGATATGGTCAGTAATCTTGAATGACAGCACTTCCCTTGCTGAGAGACTTTTTTGGTTAAAAACCTACTTCGCCCATGATTCAGTGCTTCTAGTTGAATTTTTTATGATGGAAATCACTAAATGTGAACTGTTGGCATTTATTTATTTTTTTATTTTGGGCTATGCAAAATGCATATTACTTCATTGGAGAATTGAATCACAGAAGGAGATAGAACTAACTTGCAGAACTGGGCATTATTTATCCTGTTCTGACAAGCCAATGGGACACTAGCTGGCCCTTTTGAATCTTTTATAGAGAACTAGTTTTTCACTCGTGTAATGCACGGGTTATGTCATTTTTTTTAGGTAATATTAAATTATTAATGTATCCAAATATCTATTCAGTTCTCTCAATAAATCTACAATTTGATTAATTATTTAAAATGATAAATAGAAATATAATCTTCATATATAACACACTTTTGACAATAAAAAATTAAAAGTTTATTAAGAAATTTTTTAAATGATGTCAAAATTTTATTAGATTATTTAAAAAATTAATTGATCGAGAGGAAAAAGTTATAATAAGAAAAAATTTTCTAAAAACGATTGAATTTTTTTTATATATAAAAAAATTTCAGATGTTAACATATTAAGAAGAAAAATTAGTTGGCCTCAATTTTGTGTTTCTATAATTGAAATGTATTTTTTGGGAATAGAATAAATGTTTCCTTGATGCATGGATTAAAAATCAAAATTATTGGAGCTTATAAATCAAACATTATTTTAGTTTGAGTGGTTATTTTACATATAAAAGACTTATTTGATGATAATTATATTCAATATAATTAAATCGTATAATTAGTCGAATCTTTTTTTTATTGTTCAATATCCAATCGATTTAATGAATTTTTTTATTTACGTATAATATTTTTTTATGGAAAATTCTGCGATTGAAAATAAAAGAGAGAGAAATGAGAAAAAAAATTAATGGAGCCAAACACAAGCTGAGTCATAGTATAATATTTTGTCACTTAAATGAGATTGAGATTTTTATTTAATCACTCAATTTTGATACATTTGAATTTAATCCTCTAAAATTTATATACATCTAAAATATTCAATATCGTCAAATAAATTAATCGACATCTTTTTAACTGGGTATTAAATTTTTTCAACATTGTGTTAAGTTTTACTTTGATTTATCGCAACTACTTTTAGGAAATAAACAATATGTATGATTTAATATACTCTGTGTCACATTATATAAGGGTAAAATAGATTTGCATAAAAAATATATCAATCACCAAGAAAAAAAGGAAATCATATTGATAAAATTGTCGTGAAAAAATAATAAGCATTAATAAAATAATTGATTTTTTCAAAGAAAAAAGGACGAATTATACACATTTTTTTAACACACGTTTGATGTACGTTTAACTATTTTCGATATTCATTTAGATTATTTGATGTATCTATTATATAGTTCTCGAAATAAACTTCGAGATAGAATATTTATAAAGATCTATGATAGATTTTTATTAAAAAAAAAAACTAAATAAATCACCTAATGAAAAATAAAAAAAAATTGACACAAAAAAATATTAATCACCCAATGAAAAAAAAAATTTGACACTGAACATCTTCTCAAAAAATCACCTAATGAAAAATAAAAAAAAATTGACACAAAAAAATATTAATCACCCAATGAAAAAAAAAATTTGACACTGAACATCTTCAAAAAAAAAAAAAAAAAAATGCCAGACGGAAAAATGAGAAATAAATTTAATGGAGCCAAACACAAGCTGAGCCACACTATAATATTTTGTCACTTAAATGGGATTGAGATTTTTATTTACTCACCCAATTTTGATATATTTGAATTTAATACTCCAAAATTTATATACATCTAAAATATTCAATATCGTCAAATAAATTAATCGACATCTTTTTGACTAGACATTAAATTTTTTCAACATTGTGTTAAGTTTTACTTTGATCTATTGCAATTACTTTTAGAAAATAAACAATATACATGATTTAATATACACTATGTCACATTATATAAGGGTAAAATAGATTTGTATAAAAAATATATCAATCACCAAGGAAAAAAAAGAAATTATATTGATAAAATTGTTGCGAAAAAATAATAAATATTAATAAAATAATTAATTTTTTTAAAGAAAAAAGGACGAGTTATATGCATTTTTTAACATACGCGCTTGATGTACGTTTAACTATCTCCGATATTCATTTAGATCATTCGATATATCTATTGTATAGTTCTCGAAATAAACTTCGAGATAGAATATTTATAAAGATTTACGATAGATTTTTTATAAAAAAAAAAATTACCTAATGAAAAAAAAATTGACACAAAAAATATTAATCACCTAATAAAAAAAAAATTGACACTAAACATCATCTCAAAAAAAAAAAGCCTGACGGAGCAACTCCGTGCATCACGGAGCATTTGTACCTTGCACCCAAGAGCAATTTTGCTCCTTGCATCCAGGAGTTTGCTTCGTATGCGCGGAGTTGCTCTATTGTTTTTTTTTTTTTGGTTAATTTTTTTTTCACTAGGTGATTTATTTAGTTTTTTTATAAAAATTTACCATAAATCTTCTATATTATCTCGAAATTCATTTTGAGAATTATATCATAAACACATTGAATGATCTAAATGAATATCGAAAATAATTAAACGTATATCAAACGTGTGTGTTAAAAAACGCATATAACTTATCTTTTTCTTTAAAAAATCAATTATTTTATTAATGTTTATTATTTTTTTCGCGATAATAAGTTTTGACGTCATTTAGAAAATTTCCTAATAAACTTTTAAATTTTTTTAATATCAAAAGAGACATCATTTAAAAAATTAAGAATTTCGATAACAAACTAACTTTATAAATTCATCGACGATTATACGGTAGTCGAATGTATTAATCTTCTATATTCTCTCAAAACTCATTTCGAGAACTATGTCATAGATGCATTGAATGATCTAAATGAATATTGAAAATAGTTAAACGTACATCAAATGTGTGCTAAAAAATGCGTATAACTCGTCTTTCTTCTTTAAAAAATAATTATTTATTAATGTTTATTATTTTTTCGCGACAATTTTTATTAAAAAAATTATGTGGTATAAAACACAAAATCAATTACCCAAGGAAAAAAATTGTTATACCCCGATTAGGAATGAATGGCTCATGTATGCATGTAAGGGTCAAATGGGCAATAATGAAATGTTCTGAACAAATAGTAACTGATATGATAAAAAATTCCTACAATTCACTGCTATAATTTTTGTCTCACTCTCTTATGATGCACGAGAAGATTTTCTTTGAAAATGATAGCTACAGTAACTCACTTGTATAAGTCAAAAATGGAGGCAATAAAATAGTCTCATTAATTTCATTTCTGGAAGTTACAACATCTAAGGAAGTGAGAGGATATTTTTTAAATGAAGCTACAGTAACCGTCAGCAAATGGTTCTATAAAGTCAACAAAGACAACAATAATGCTGCCATATTTCATTATTATTTCCAGAATTTTTTTTGTGATGAATAGTGCATAATGAATTCAGCTACTTACAAAATCAGGTCAGTGTGAAACCACTGCCCCAGGTTGAACAGTATATGTTGGATCCTCTCTTTTAAAGTAAAGGGGATTTATCTATCTTGTTGACTGTTTCAAGCTTTTTAATGGCATATTGCGAGTTTAAGATCCTTTCGATCTCCTATATCGTAGCTATGTGCGAATTCAAATTATAATTAGCATAAGATAGAGTGATGCTATTCATAGTCGCTCACTATGATACTCGCCCTACATGGTATCCTATATGACGGTTTGTAATTTGATATATTAATGTAGTAATTTTTTTTGTGTCACATATCAAATTACTAACCGCTACATGTATGCCACGTAGCACGACTATTTAGTGAATGACTGTAAATAGCATTATTCCACATGCTAACATCAACAATGGCGAATTACTATGTACCATGTGAGATTAGAAATCCTCGAGCATCACAAGATATAATCAGAAACCACCAATTTCCATGGATAGACTGCTATTCAAATGCCTAGAGATATTATCCTTGCCAATGGAATCTGATGGAGATTTCGATTCAACACCGTCGAGTTTGAACTCTGTTCTGCACCATATGCACACTGTTATCAGCTGATTTATGTCTGTTGTATTCAATACAACTTCCTTCGAGCAAAATCTAATAGAGAAATCAAACCCATCTTCTATTCTAGCATTGTTTCTCAAATCTATTGAACCCCCGGCGAAGATGGTGATTCTTGGCCATTCATAGAACCATATCTGAAGGGTTCTATATCATCAAATCCTAGCTCCTTAGAACCTGTAACATTCTCAAGCTTTTGATCAATCACATAGATATACTGAAACTTTTGGTTGAGTTGTATGATCTAGTATTTGGTGTGCGCTTAATAACTTCACCTCTGGTAGAAGACACACTTTTCATATTTTCAGTACTCCTATTATATGTCTTCTATACAGAGTGTTGACGTCAAAATTAGCAAGGCTACTATTAAGCCAACTTTAAGAAAAAAATGGCGATTTATTGTTGAAAAAAGACCACAAAATATGTTTAGAGAGCGTAATTATGTCTTGAGTTGTTGTATGAAATCACTTGCCCTTTACAAGAGTCCTATTCAACTATTTATACATAGTTTCAGCCGACATTACATCAAATCAGTCAAATCAAAAACAGTATCGAGCT